TCTTAACAATACATCTTAGAATCTTTCTTATCAGTACACAAGGAGCTGGCTCATTATTTTTATAGCACATAGTACTCTGCTGTGGGATTACCATAATTTTCCTGGGTATTTAGATTGCTTCCAATCTTTTACTATTAGCAACAATGCTGCAATAAATATCTTTATTCTTATGTGTGTACAATAAATTCTTAGATGCCAGAGTACGCAGATTTGTAATTTTTGTAAATAGTCCAAATTGCCCAGGATGGAGATGGTACCCATTTACTCTCCCACAGGGATGCCCAAGAGTGCCTGTTTCCCCATATACTCACCATCACTGTGTGTTATCATATTTTTCATGCTTTTTCAATCTGATGGCTGGAAAAAAATGTTTTCTCCTTGGAGTTTTAATTTACATTTCTTTCATTATCAAGTAAGGTGGAGCATCTTTTCAAAGGTGTAAGAGCCAGTTATGCTTCCTCTCCAACTGCCCTGTTAGCCTGCTCCTTGGTATAAATGGAACCTCAGTGGGAATCAGCGCCAGGTTGCCCCACATGGTGGGTACTTGAACCAACAGAAATGTGGAATGTAGATCACAGTCAGGGGCGGTGTTAGTGCCATCCTGATGGGCTCAAGTCTGAGGCGGACGTGTCTAACTTAAGAAACAGGCCTTAGAACCACGCAGACCTCCCTGACATCCTGCCTAGTCACAAACTTGTTATGTGACTTTGGCTAAGTCATTTCACTTCTCTGGATTTTAGTTTCCTCTTCTATAAAGTAGAGATTTTAATAGAACCTACATGGTGGTGTTTTTGGGAGAAAGAAATAGGACAGCATACATAGGTACTTAGCATAACTGTGCTAGCAAGTGTTTGGCAAGTGGTTGCAATTATTATGTTTACAGGTGAGAATGTACTAGTCAAGGTTCTCCAGAGAAACAGAATCATATATATACAGAGAGAGAGAGAGAGGAAGAAAGAGGGAGGGAGAGAGAGAGATTTTTTTAAGGAATTGGCTCACTTGATTGTGGAGGCTAGCAAATCCAAAATATGCAGGCTGGGCCAGCAAGCCCAAGACCCAGGGAAGAGTCGATGTTGCAGTTGGAGTCTGAAGGCCATTGGCTAGCAGAATTCCCTCTTGCTTGGGGGATGTCAGTCTCTTTGTTCTATTCAGACCTTCAACTGATTGGATGAGGCCCACCCACATTAGGGAGGGCAATCTGCTTTACTCAAAGTCTACTGATTTAAATATTAATCTCATCCAAGAGACTCTCACAGAAACATCAAGAATAATGTTTGACCAAATATCTGGGCACCATGGCCTAGCCAAGTTGATAAAATTAACCATCATATCCAGGGAAAAAGACGAATTGTCTAAGTTCACACAGTCAGCCAGCTGGAAATTTTGGTCTAGATCCAGAACGAAGGATTTCTTTATTTCAGCTCTGAGACTAGGGTGAGCACATATTTGGGGATAGTTTCAGTTTATACCTGTAGTCCCAGCAGAATATTAGTAATACCACATTTTACTTCCCAAAGGGTCGAATTTGGTCAATGAAGGTGGTCACTTTTTTCCAACACCCAACATTTAGAAATCTACGAGCTGATGCTTACCCTTCACCCCATCCCCTTCTGTCCCTTGGGGTCAACCCACAAACTCATTTACGAAGGAGGGAGAGCCAGCCCCAAGAATGTGTTGCTGACATAATTAGGGCCAACTGTGTGGTCAGAGGACCGATGGTTAAAAACAACAATAACAACAGAGGAGCCCAGGAGAGTTCTGGAGCGCTGTGCAAGGTGGACTTTAACCATTTTTGAGCCATTATATTGTTATTATTGTTTTGGTCTCTAAAACAACCACATAAGAAAAACAAAAACAATATAAAATTCCACTAGTGCTTAAATCCTCCTGTTTCTATGTTCTTTGCCTGGGAATAAAAGCAAGTATTTCACACATGTGAAAGGATCTTCGTGTTTTTCCAGAAGAGTTAGTTAGGCCCAAAGCTGAGGCCACAAGACACCAAGTGCTACATATTCTAAATTGAGAGAATTGCCAACCAGAGCCCATTATTCAGGACATCCCTCCTCTCAGGGCTTACTAAGAAGGTGTTGGGTAAGTGTGGCATTTGAGGAGAGGGGCACCCAGTTCTCTACTAATGAGAGTGTCCCAAGGAAAGGGAGAAAATAGTCCCTTGCTTCAAACTCTGCATCAAGTTCTAAAGACGGTCCCAGATGCTGGAATTCAATGTTCTTTTTGGAGTCTACCTATCTGGTAGGACAATAATAACTTTTTTAATATTAACAAAAAAAAAAAACAGTGTTGGCTTTGGATCTAGAATTCGATTCTAGATCTTTCTTGTGGCTTTGTCTGACAATATGATCACAGTTTCTGGGGGCTTTGTTCTGAGACACAGGAGAGCTAGCAGAGGGAGTGGAGAAGGTGTCCAGAGCCAGACTTCTCTCTCTCCAGACCACTCTTTCCTCTGGAGTCAGGGAGACGACTTCTGAATCACGTTCGAGTTTTGAATTAGAAAATAAACAGGGCAGTAATTTAAATATCGAAATGGGATGAATCTCTGAAAGCAGCTGCAAAGTTGTATTATTAAGGGACCTATCCATGGTGTGAAAAGGGGAGGTCTGACTTAGTATAGGCGGAGGCAGTTGGAAAAACACCACTTCAGGTCTTTATCCCAAGGAGTTGAGGGTCCCGAATAAACCATTTACCTGCGGAATAATCCCAGCAGCTGAAAGATCTCTAAGGCTCTGACCAGTGACCCTGTGATGTCCCAAGGTGCCACAAATCCTTGATCTGCCTGATGGATGTTAGAGCAGGCCCTGCTGGCTCCTGGCTACAGCGTTATCATCATAAATTAGTAACACATCTTTATTTATAAGAACATTAGTCAACAACAGCCACACCCCTACTGGGTAAAGGAGTCGCAAGAGCCAGGCTGCAGGAGACACTGTTAACCTCTTGAAACGTGGAGTATTGTTATTACTCACGTGGTCACTGCGAGGATTAAACGAGATAAGGTATGTAAATTTCTCAAAAATATTTGTGAGTTGATTGGCTGTGGACCCTCTGTAAGTGCCAATTATTTAAAATAGTCTGGAATGCAGAGTCCTGAGCAGATTTACCTATTGGGTGGCAGGATATTCACCTGGCAGGCTAAAATATTGGTTCTCAAAGTGTAGTTGCAGGACCCCTGGGCTCCTCAGGACCCTTTCAGGGGTGATTGAGGTCAAAACTATTTTCATAATAACATTAAGACATTATTTGCCTTTCCCACTCTCATTCACTCATGAATGTACCCTGGAATTTCCAGAGGCTACACAACATGTCATGAAGTAATGGCTCTGAGGTCTGATGGAATGTATGCTTTGGTATTCTTGGGTTTTAAAATTTTCTCAGTTTTGATCAGTGGTTTCCAGGGGCTGGGAGTGAGTGGAGAAATTGACTACAAAGGGACAGGAGGTAATATTTGTTTTGGGGGGGGTGATGATTCTGTCTTGATTGTAGTAGTGGTTACATGACTATGCATTTGCCAAAACTCAAAGAACTGTACACAAAAAATGGGTGAATTTTACTGTATAAATTACACCTCAACTTTAAAAAACCCAAAAATTATTTCTCAATTTTAATTTCTAGTAGCATAAATATAGTTTGATATAACCCACATAAATAAAAGCTCTCAATAAACCAAAATCTAAAACTTTGAGAACTGCTGAGTGAAAGCATTGATTTCTTTACTAAAGCAGTTGCAATTACTTGCTCTGGATTTGGGGAAAGTAATTAAAACAGAGGGCAAATTCTCTCTGGCTCTAATGCTCTATAAGCTGTGCCGTCCAATACAGTAGCCACAGGCCACATGTAGCTATTGAGGACATGAAAGTGGCTGGTTCAAACTGTGATGTAGTTACACAAAAAGAAATCTCATTAATAATTTTTACCTAGAAATGACAACAGTTTGGATATATTGGATCAAGCAAAAGATATTGTTAAAATTGACTTCCTCTGTTGTTTTTTACTTTAATGTGGCTGCTAGACAATTTTAAATTGACTCTCCTTATATATATATATATATATATATATATATATATTTTTTTTTTTTTCTTTCTGTGTGTGTGAGGAAGATCAGCCCTGAGCTAACATCCATGCCAATCCTCCTCTTTTTGCTGAGGAAGACCAGCCCTGAGCTAACATCTATTGCCAATCCTCCTCCTTTTTTTCCCCTTTTTCTCCCCAAAGCCCAGTACATGGTTGTATGTCATAGTTACACATCCTTCTAGTTGCTGTATGTTGGACGCAGCCTCAGCGTGGCCGGAGAAGAGGTGTGGCAATGGGCGCCCAGATCAGACCAGGGCCGCCAGTAGCAGGGTGTGAGCACTTAACCGCTAAGCCATGGGCCAGCCCCTCTCCTTATATTTTTATTGGACAGCACTATTCTGGAGACACACAATCTTGACTGCCAATCTTGTTTCCACCACTTACAAGCTGTGTCAAAAGACTTATTACTTCTTTAAACTTCTTGGGTTTCCTGGGATATAAAACGTGAGTAATGTTAGGGTTGGTGTGTAGATTGTGAATAAGGCATGTGACGTAGGTAGCAATGCACCTAAGTAAACAATAAGTTTGGTGGCTGTTATTATTCAAGGCCTCAGTTTCTCTATTGATGGCGTCAGCGATGGACCACACGCTCATTAAAGGCCCTTCCTCCGCGACCTATTTCCACTCTGACGACAATAATAACTAATAGTGGCCCAGGCCTGATACCGCTTTCGGGCGGGGGCTGCCCTCTTCCCATTGAAAAATTAAAATGACACAGAGTCCCTCCTGGAAGTGGGATATCTGTTCTAGGAACGGAGCCCTGGCGAAACCTGAAAACGAAGCAGCCCCAGGCCACACGGCCTCCCTTAGCAACCGACGCCTGCGCCGGTTGCTAAGGGGAAAAAAGGATAACACGGATGTGGTCCGGCGGCTCTTGCGCTCCGGCGGCGGCAGCTTCCGGTCCTCCCGGCAGCCCGTCCTTGGCCTACTTTCCCTCGAGGAGCTGGGACTTCGGCCGCGGGTTCCGCGTCCTCGGAGCCTGGGGAGCCCCCGGTCTGTGGGCGGCGGCGGCGGCGGCTTCCCGCGGGGCAGCGATGCTGAGCTCCCGGGCCGAGGCGGCGATGACCGCTGCCGACAGGGCCCTCCAGCGCTTCCTGCGGACCGGGGCGGCCGTCAGGTGAGCCGGGGGCGGGGCGGCGGGGAGGCCGGGAGCCCGGCCTGGGCCTGTGGCCGCTTCTCACCCCCGGGCCCGAGGGAGCGTTCTGGAGCCTTCTGCGTCCGGCAGGGATGGAGGCCCAGGCCCTGGGGCGGGAGGGGCGACGGGCCCCTGGGGCCTCCGGGTCCTCGGCAACGCCAGTTGTGTGTGCGCCCCCCGATTCTGTAGCGCCCCAAATTCTATCAGTGCCCCCCTCCCCGCCTGCCAGTGCCTCCTCCAATCCTGTCATTGTCCCCAGAACCTCCAGGGAGGCTTGTCAACGCCCCGAATTCTGTCAGTGCCCTTTGGACCTCTCAGTGCTTCGCAGGCCTCCCAGGACCCCGTAATCTTTCCAGGACACCCCAGTCCTTCTGGACTCCCCAGTCGTGTCTGCTCCTGGCCTGCCCGGGTTCCCCAGCCTTGCCAAGCTCCCCAGTCCTGCCGTGGTTCCCACAATCCTGTAAAGTGCCCGGGATCTGCTGCCCCCGCCCCTTTGTGAGGACCCCTGTGCCTGTCAGGCTCCCCCCTCTAGGGATGCTTTGTCCTGTATGGGTCCCCCATCTTATTAGTGACTCCTTATCTTGCGAGGGTCCCCAGAGCAATCAGGACTCCTTAATCTGTTAAGGCCTCCAGTCCTGTTAAAGTCACTTATTCCTGCGAGGACCCTCAACAGTATGGGTCCCCCATCCTTTCTGGGCCTCTATCTCCCTTCTCTCATCCAGGCTTCAGAGCTGAGCACTGCGCCCCCATTACTGACCCTAAATGCCTGAGACCTGTTGCCCAGGTCGGCCTCCTTCCTCTGGAACTGGAGCAGGCCTGAAGAGCTTATGATCTCAGGGCTGGGCACCCTCAGTGCTATCCTGTCCAGTGCCCCATTCTGTAGGCAGGAAACAGGCCTGGAGACGGCCTGTCGGTGGTCCTACAGCTGACCTGCTAGCAGAGCTGGGGGAGCAGCTGGATCTTTCTCCCCAGGCCCCACTACTCTCTTTGTGTTGTCGTTGTGCAGAGGAATGGGGTTTCCAGAGTCACCACTTGCCCCTGGGTTTTTTGTGCGTGCCCTGCCGAGGACCTGGGTCAGTCCTCTCTCCCGTCCCTTCCACACTCTGTCCTTCAGTTTCCCTCGTGAGCTCTGTAGTTTTAAGCACCGACTTGGTAGCCCCACCAGGATGAATTCAGATCCACGTTGCCTCACTCACGCTGACCAAGTTAGCTGCGTCTCTTAGTTTCCTCATCTATAAAAATGGAGATGATAGTAGAACCTTTCTTTGTGGGATTGTTTTGAGGATGAGAAAAGATGATCACAGTGCCTGGCGTAGAGTATGCACCCTTAAATGTCAGTGTTTGGTTAGGGGGTTTTAAAACACTTGTAAAGTGCTTTATAATTTCAATGATGGTCCTTTTTAACCTTTCCAGGCACTTTCGTGAATACACCTGTTACGTAAAAGTCAGCACAATGATGCATTAAGAAACTTCAGAATAACTTTCATGAATGAAACTGAGATGATAATACTTAATAATCATAACAGCTATCACTTATTAAGCTCTTACTATGCACCCTATGCATCAGCGCTTATTTAATCCTCACAACTCTGTGGCATAGGTCCCGTGATCGTCCCCATTGCACAGATGGGAAATCTGAGGCTTAGCAGGTGAACTGATGCCCTAGGGGATAGCAGAGCCAGAATTGAACCAGATTAATGCAGTTACACAGTCTATTGACTCTGTCTTGGGAGAACAAAGATTTGTTTGGAATTCAGTTATCAATTATGAATCATATCAGTTATGACTTTAGGGGAATGTTGGTTGTTGTAGACAGAGTTACTAGTACTAGTATTACCAGTGACTCTTCACTGAGTTAGTGTTGACTGAGCTGAGATCAAAATAATATTCACATGATCCAAACATTGGGATAACAGTATATTACACACACACACATATCTAACACATATGTACAGGTATATATTGCACATATATATACACACACATACATTGTTTGCCTTATTGGTGGAAATACAGAAATTTGTATAAAAATGGTGTTTTAAATAGCTAATGAGGGCCAGCCCTGTGCCTTAGCGGTTAAGTGCGCGTGCTCCGCTGCTGGTGGCCCGGGTTCGGATCCCAGGTGCGCACCGACTCACCACTTCTCCCGCCATGCTGAGGCCGCGTCCCACATACAGCAACTAGAAGGATGTGCAACTATGACATATAACTATCTACTGGGGCTTTGGGGGGAAAAAAAAAGGAGGAGGATTGACAATAGATGTTAGCTCAGAGCCGGTCTTCCTCAGCAAAAAGAGGAGGATTAGCATGGATGTTAGCTCAGGGCTGATCTTCCTCACACACACAAAAAATAATAATAAAATAAATAAATAAATAGCTAGTGAAATTTCTTCATTGTAGTAAAACAATAACTTCAGTGTTCAAGTCAAGCCTAAAATTAAGAAATCTTTAATAAATATTTAGATCTTTTATACTATTGTATGCCCCCTCCCCATTTAATAAGCTGAAAGAGAAATCCATTTTTATCTGTTTTCTCCAGTACCCAATCATCCAGTAAATATTATTGAGAATGTACTGTGTGCCAGGCATGACCTAGAAACTTGCATATGTCATTGAGTGAAACAGACAAAGATCCCTGCCCTTGGGGACTTTACATTCCAGTGGAGGGAGACAGACAACAAATGTAGTGAATAAGTGGGTGTTCTGTTAAAAGGTAGTAGGTGCTATGGTAAAGAGAAAAAGCAGAACGGGGTCAAAGGGACGAGAAGTGCAGGTTCTAATAGTCTGTTCAGGGTAGGCCTTAGTGAGACTGGAGGTGAGGTAAGCCAAGCAGTGATCTGAGGGAAGAGCATTCCAGGCAGAGGGAGCAGCAGTGCAAAGGCCCTGAGGTGGGAGCATGGCTGGGGTGGCGACCAGGGTGGCAGCGGAGTGAGAGGCAGAGTAGGAGGAAGACCTTGGCTTCCCCTCTGAGTGTGATAGGACTTTTGGAAGGCTGTGCCCTGACTTAGGTTTTCAATCCTAGTGTCTAAATGTGCTGATTTTCAAGATAGCCTATACTGTGTATTACTTTAACTTGAAAGTTAGGTCTGTGGTGGGCCAGTGGGTTATTTTGACAAAATGTTATTTCTCTGTACCTATATCTGTATATACACATAGTGTGTTTGTGATGAGGGAAGACAGTAAACTTATTTTCTTTTTTAGATACAAAGTCATGAAGAACTGGGGTGTTATAGGTGGCATTGCCGCTGCTGTGGCAGCAGGAATATATGTTATTTGGGGTCCCATTACAGAAAGAAAGAAGCGTAGAAAAGGTAAGAATGAGGCCATTGTTTCATGGTCTGGAGACTTGACCCAAACCCTTATTATCCGAAAACAATACTAAAAGGAGAGGGCTTTTTTTGTTCTTTTGTATCTTCAATTTGTGAACAGTACTTTCTTTTAAACAGAAGGTAATTCAATGATTCATTATTTTATACTCTGCAGTAAAAAAGACTTATATTTTACCCCTCTAAAGTCTTGAGTTTGAGACGTGCTTTGTAATGAAAAATTTGGAGTGGCTTAATTGTCTGAGTGTTCTCATTAATGTGGCCCTTGTGATTTTCAGTAGTACAACTGGCTAATTGTGTGATGATCTGTGGTTTCACTGACTAGCTGCTAGTCACTAGTAAAAGTTTCAAGTTAGTTTCTTTAATACAAAAATCTATTTCCTTCTTTTTTTAAATGTCCCCTTTTGTAAATGTTACTCATACTGATTAAAATTCAGCAAAAACAAACAAAAAAGGGATAGATAATAGGAAAATGTTTATCCTTGTTAAATCTTGGGCTGGTTATGGTTGGGGTTCATTATATATCCTCTCTTCTTTTGTGCATGTTCGAGAACTTTAATAATAAAAAGCTTTTTTTAAAAAAAAAAATTTCAGCCAAAGAGAGAAGTATGACCGGTTTTGTTGACCTCTTCGCAGAAAGACTGATCAGAATTGCTGTAGTGGTGTCTTCACTGATTATAAGAACAAGATCATTGTCCTGGGGGGAACAACAGAACAATTGTTTTCTTCTGTTCTGAGAAACGTTGCTTTCTTGTCAAAGGAGAGAGAGAGAAAGAGAGAGATGTTACTAAGTGTCTTTGTATATTTGATATCAACCAAGCGGTGCCAGACACCATGGTGGGTTTCAACAGTAGCACACGACAGGGACCTGTCCTTCTGTCGCTTACAGTCTCCCAAAGGGCAGTATTAGGACCAGGCCTCGGCGCGGCCAGAACGCCTGGCCCCTGGGTCTCTGTGGATAGGGACTTTTTCAGATTGGAATTTCCAGTTGAAGGCCACAGTGCGGCAGCTCTGGTCCTGAGTGGGAGAGAAAAAAGAGTTGGTCCGATGTGGCGTGCTGTTCCCTTCTCCCCCCACAGGGCTCGTGCCTGGCCTCGTCAACCTGGGGAACACCTGCTTCATGAACTCCTTGCTGCAGGGCTTGTCTGCCTGCCCCGCCTTCATCACGTGGCTGGAAGAGTTCACCGCGCAGTACGCCAGGGACGAGGCGGAGCCCCCCGCGCGCCAGTCTTTGTCCTTAACACTGCTGCGGCTCCTGAAAGGTATCTGGCCGGGGATTGTGTGCTTTCAAAGCAGCAGCCAGGTGGCAGGCGGAGGGCTGCCAGCCTTTGTGCAGAGAAAGATCATCAGGGAAAACACTCAGCACCCAATAGGTACATACAGGTAGTTTTCAATGTAGGAAGTGCTCTGGCTTCAGAAACATTGAAGTTTAAAAAAAAAGTATCTTAGCCGGGGAAATAAGACAATTTGCAAAGAGAAATAATACAAATTGTATTTAGATACAAAGTGTATCTAAGAAACTCGTGGATATTTACCTTGGCCATCGTCAAAGAGATATAAATAACAGAATTGTAAGGTGCCATTTTTTTGCCTGTCAGCAAAGATTGAAAGACAAATCCACAGTCCTGACCAGCTGTTGGATGGCGTGTTCATACACACTGGTGGTGGTGTAACTCAGGGCAGCTTTCTGGAAAGCAGTTTGGAACTACACAGTAATAGCTTGCAAGATACCCAGTACCATTCGACATAGTAATTCTGTGGACCATGATTTACATTAGCCTGAAAGGGAGTCCTAAGAGCAAACAAGGTTGAAAAGGGCTGAACACAAGCCCTCGAGCTTGGGGAGTCACAATATACGTGGGCTTGGTAAAGCTTTTAAGAAGTCACCCATCTAACTTCACTTTTAAACTACCTTTTTTGACTGTAGAACTATTTTTTCCCCCCACAACATCTGTTAACACCCCTGGGACATTCCACAGAACACGATTTGGGAAATGCTGTTCTATGCACAAAGATCTCCAACACCTAGTTATAATGGGGAAAAAAAGGAAGAATGTGGTTTTCAACAGTAGGATGGTTAAGCAATCGATGGAGTATTATACAGCCATTAAGAATCATCTTTATCAAGTGTTTTTTGTTTTTTTAATTTGGGAGAGGGTGTAGGCTATAATATTAAGTTTAAAAGAGCAGGATATGAAATATGATGTAATTTGACTTCAGCTAAGCAAAAACTTCCACAGATAAAGGCTGGACAGAAAAAGACCAAAATGTTAGCAGTGGCCATTTTGGTGTTGTGCAGTTGATGGTTTAAAAACCTTAAAAAACAAAGCTGTACTTCTGAAACTTTCAACAAGAATCATATATCACTCTCACAGTCAGAAAAAAATGGGATTTAAAAAGCACTCAGCTAATTATTGCTTCACTGACATATTTTCCCATGCAACCTCAGCTTGACAGAAATCTTTATGAAGCAAGTTCTGCTCTTCTGTGTAAGAGGCAATTTGAAAATAATTTCTTTTTTTGTGTGTGTGAGGAAGATCGGCCCTGAGCTAACATCTGCCAATCCTCCTCTTTTTGCTGAGGGAGACTGGCCCTGGGCTGACATCCGCGCCCATCTTCCTCCACTTTATATGGGACGCCGCCACAGCATGGCTTGACAAACGGTACATCGGTGCGCGCCCGGGATCCGAACCGGCAAACCCTGGGCTGCTGCAGTGGAGTGCGCGCACTTAACCGCTTGCGCCACCGGGCCAGCCCCTGAAAATAATTTCTTTTACTACCCTGTTCAAAAAAATGTTATTCCAGAGACAGTGTGAGAAGCTATGTCCCCACGGGTGCTGTAATGCAGGTTTCGGGGTTGTCCTAACTGTGACCCCAGCACCCCCCTCTCTTTCCACACGTGTGACCCGGTGCTGGGAACCAGAGCGGTCCTGGGCAGCTGCACCTCATCTCTCCGCTCTCTTCTCTGCTTCTGCTTTTCAATGGCTTTTATTTTGGTTTTCAGAAGTAATTTTTAATTATACAAGTAATGCATGAATAAATTCTCCTTGTAAAAAATTAAAGCATTACAGATAAGGCCGAAGTCCCCTTTATCACCACTCCAAGCCCGCTCCCTTCCTTCCTTCCTGAAAGTAAAATATAACTGTATCCTTCCAGACCATTGTCTGTGCCTTTAAATATGTTTCTAAGTACCCATAGAAATGATATATTGCATATGTTTTTTCCTAACCAAATTAAAAACAATGCATTGGAGAAATGTCCATGTCAGTACATGTAGCTCTACCTCCCTTCTTTTTTCTTTTTGTGAGTATTGGTCTTATGGATTTTGTCTTCTGAGAATTGCTTGCTCATATCCTTTGCCCATTTTTAAAAATTGTGGTAAAATATTCACAACATAAAATTTACCATCTTAACCGTTTTTAAGTATATAGTTCTGTAGCTTTAAGTACATTCACTTTGTTGTGCAACCATAACCACTCTTCATCTCCAGAACGTTTTCATCATCCCATATTAGGACTCTGTACCCATTAAACAACAGCTCCTCACTCTCTGCTGCCCCCAGCTCTTGGGAACCACTATTCTACTTTGTCTCTATGAATTTGACTGTTTACTTCAATTCCAAATACTATGGAATTGCTGGATCAAATGGTAATTCTGTTTAATTTTTTGAGGAACTGCTAGACTGTTTTCCATAGTGGCTGCACCATTTTCCATTCCCACCAGCAATGCACAAGGGTTCCAGTTTTCCATGTCCTCACCACACTTATTGTCGTCTTCTTTTTTTTGTGTGTGTGAGGAAGATCAGCCCTGAGCTAACATCCATGCTAATCCTCCTCTTTTTTCTGAGGAAGACCGGCTCTGAGCTAACGTATTACCAATCCTCCTCCTTTTTCTCCCCAAAGCCCCAGTAGATAGTTGTATGTCATAGTTGCACATCCTTCTAGTTGCTGTATGTGGGACGTGGCCTCAGCATGGCTGGAGAAGTGGTGCATCTGTGCGTGCCCGGGATCCGAATCCGGGCCGCCAGGAGCGGAGAGCGCGCACTTAACCGCTAAGCCACCAGGCCAGTCCCACTTATTGTCTTCTTGATGATAACCATCCTAATAGGTGTGAAGTGATATCTAATTGTGGTTTTACTTAGCATTTCCCTAATGATTAGTGATATTAAGCATCTTTCCATGTGTTTATTGGCCATTTGTATGTCTCTTTTTTGAGAAATGTCTGTTCAAGTCCTTTGTCCATTTTTGAATTGGGTTGTCTGTATTTTTGTTGTTGTTGAGTTGAGTTCTTTCTGTGTTCTGGATATCAGTCCCTTATCAGATATGTGATTTGCAAACCTCCTTCCCTTTTACAGTTGTGCAGTATCCATAGTATCGAGACACCCCAGTTTATCTAGCTGTTTGCTTCCAGGGCCGTGTTGTGATAAACAGGCACGTAGGGGTAGATCCTGACAAAGTCACATTGCTGGGTTGTAGGATATGAAAATTACTAGACATTGCCAAGTTGCCCCACAGCATTTTAGGCCAAATTGGGCTAAAGGGGACATTTCCCTTGAGAGGGAAAAAGTGAACAGAAGGGCTGCCTGAGGGGCACAGGAGGAAGAAGGAAGGTACTGTTCCTTTCCTATGGGCTCCCTTTGTTCTGGAGGGTAAATGTCTGACCTCAGGGTATATTTGCACTGGTAGGACGAGCCTTGGGACTTCATAGCACTGGCTGCCAGGGCTGCTGCTTCTCCACGGGTCACCACTCAGAGTTACCACCCACGTTCAGACAGGGGTGGGGGTGGCAGTGTTCAGAACCTCCAGGGTCAGAGTCTGAAGTATTCAGGAATCTCTCAAGTTCACTGGCTGCAAATCAAAGCGAAGAAACAGGCTGGCTTAGTTTATTGAACTTGCAGAAACTGCACTGAGATGGCAGGCCCTCTATTTTTATCTCCCACACTCTAGTGGTACTGGTCCAGTGTAGTATACTGGTCCATAATAATGTACTATAGAAACAGGATGGTCAAGATCAGGACTCAGCAAGCTATGGCCCCTGGGCCAAATCTGGCCCACCACCTGTTTTTGTAAATAAAGTTTTATTGAAACGTGACCATGCCCACTTATTTATGTATTGTCTGTGGGTGTTTTTGTGCTACACTGGCAGAGTTGAGTAGTTGCTTCCGAGACCCACAAAGCCTAAAATTTTTCCTGTCTGACCTTTTACAGAAAAAGGTTGCCAACTTCTGATCTAGATGTAATTATAATATAAATTCGTAAGCCCATCAAAGTTTTATTTTTGTTTATTAGGCTCGATTCTACTTATGACTGAAAACTAAACCACTCAGCAGACCCATTCAGGCTGCCACATCCAGCTTGATGCTTCGCTGTGATAATTAGAAACTCAGATGCAAACAAATACAAGCGAAGGCCTTATGGCCGTGGAAAGAGTCCTGTGGAGGGGACTTAAGCACTGGGTGTGGGGTTGGCCTAGATGAGTGTTTAAGGGCCCTCCCACCCCCGAGAGTTGTGAGTTAAAGTCATTTTATTCAATAAGAATCTTGCAACAATAAATTTATATTGATGATGGTAATTCAAATATTTGAAAATCAATTACTTTGTTTAACTGCTGTAGCCTCATGAAAAATTACATTCATTTAACAAACACGAGTTGCCTACTAGCGTACTCAGCATTGGGTAAGGCTACCAAGAAGAATGTTGGAAGAGATGTAATTCAAGGTGGATTTTACAGTCCTTAAATTTTTTGCTTTGCTTTCTATGTTGTGCTGTGCAGATCTGCTGGTTAGTTGTTATACTGCTGTTAATAATGGTGTTGGCTTTTTTGTTTCCAGCTTTATCCTGCCAAGAAGTTACTGAGGATGAGGTCTTGGATGCAAGCTGCTTGTTGGATGTCTTAAGAATGTACAGGTGGCAGATCTCTTCATTTGAAGAACAGGTGAGCACAGCATTCAAAGCAGGCTGGCTTGGAGAATCCTTCCCCCTGATGAGTTGGGGCCTGAGCTGGCAGCGCTGGCTAAAGAACGGCTGCATTGCCACAGCGGGAAGAGTAAACGCCGGGTTGCCCTTGCAGTTGCCTGGCCTGAGTGTACATTTCCATGACGTTTCAGACAGCCTCAGTGTTCTGGGAGCAGATCGTGAACGTTATTCCTGCTCTCATGATCAGAGGAGATGGAAGGTTGGGCATAAACACACGGTTGCCAAAGAGGGAAAATCTTTTTAGTTCTTGAGTGACTTTGCATTTCAGTGGACGATAGGAACATCTGGGTCCTTTAGAGAGAGGCAGGTGGCTTCACCTTAGAGGCTCAGAGATTCAGGTGACACCCTTTTTTGAACTATACCTTCATTTTTAAAAAAAAATCAGTCTTCAGAGGCTGGCTTAAAGTGGCCCCAAACCTCTAGCGTCTGTCATAGGCAACCCCAGGGACTTATTCCAGCCCCTCCCACCCCCCTTTCCCACAACTGCAGCCTCACTGTCTTCTTTGGTGCTGGCACCTTCCTCCTCCCCAGACCGCTGTTACCGTCAGGGCTGAGGCTGAGGCTGAGAGAGTGAAGTTCTAGGGACAGAAAACTTAGCTTCCAGTGTGTCCTGGTGCATCCCGGCCGCATTTCCAGGAGGGCCCTGTCCGGCTTTGTGTTGGTTGGCTCTGCCTCCACCATCCAGACACTGGGTCAGAGAAATGGCAGACAGCCCTTGGGCTCCCAGAACTGTGCGGCTGAGTGAGACGCATTTAAAAGCTCTGGGAAAGTGAGGTGGGAAGGCTTTCCACCTCTTCTTATCTTAAAGATTCTCTCGTTTCCACTTTAATCTAGAGCCGTGTTTGTATTACTTTTTAAACATGATGTTGATGATATCTATACTGTCTTAAAATGCCTCTCGATTAATCCATTTATGTTTAAATGTTTTCCTTTTAGAAAATACTTTTTTAATCCTTCTCTGGTAACTGGAATTATTTAGCTGCATGTGACATTTCTCTGAACTGAGAGAGTGACTGAGATTTAGTCCTTAAGGACATCAGATACCTTTTTTAAGTCCTTCCCTTCTGTCAAGGACCCACTTAAGTCCCAGTTACTCCCTGGAAGTGTTCCTAACATCTTCATCCCCGAGCAGTCATGTAGTGCTATAGTGTGCATGGAGAAGAGATGAGCACGTCTGTCTGTTGGTCTCCCTCTTTGAAGGCACCTGGAGCCTCTAGCGTGAGGCAGTGTCCACGTCCTCATTTTTTGTGTGTGTGAGGAGGATTCTCCCTGAGCTAACATCTGCACCAGTCCATCTATTTTTGTATGTGGTTTGCCACCACAGCCTAGCTGATGAGTGGTGTAGGTCTGTGCCTGGATCCAAACCTGCGAACCCAGGCAGCCGAAGTGGAGCGTGCCAAACTTAACCACTAGGCCACGGGGCCAGCCCCGTCCATGGCTTCATTATTAGTGATCTGGTCGGTCACCAGCAGACTTCCACTGCTGACCACTTTTCAGCGTCTAAAGCTAGAGCGATGGGGGATGCATTGGGCTAAGTGCTTGCTTCTTGTGAATTATCTGATGTAATCCTCACAACAACCCTGTGAGGAGTTACTGTTATCATCCTCACTTTACAGATGAGGACACTGAGGTTCAGAGAAGTGAAGTGACTTGCCCAAAGTCACACAGCTGTTTACGTGGCAGAGCCAGGATTCAAGCCAGTCTGGCACTAAAGAGCATGCTCTTCAGCTCCACCCTCTTCTGCGATACTGTTCCTTTTCCAAGGCCAAGTAGTTACACAAGTAACGTTACACAAGTTATAAGTGTGAGGCTGACTGTGACTGAATAGGCTTTGGATCTGACTCCATCCTGTCTTGGGACTTTTCTGCCTGGTGAACCCCTGCTGGTGCTTCAAGGGTTGGCCCAGATGCCTTGTCTGTGAAGGCCTCCCAGGAGGAGCTGATCCTCCCTCAGGCTCCCGTGGCTCATTGGTCGTAACAGGGCTGTAGCATTGTGCTGCCAGATAATAGCTAGGCTGCCACATCTACCCTAGCTTGTGAGTCCCTCGAGGGCAAGAGCCTTGCCTTATTTTCCTTGAATCTCCATCACTCTCTTGCCGCTGTTCATAGCCTAGGAGGGCATTCATTTATACATGCAACAAGTATTTATTGACTGCAGCCTCAGGCACGCCCTGTTGAGGGCCTAGGGTTGTAGCAGCGAACATGACAGCAGGGTTCCTGCTCTCTTAGAGCTCACATTGTGGTGGGGGCTGCAGGATGAGAGAAGTGACAGGGGACTCCTTTCAATGGGGCAGGCTCTTCTGGGGACCTGAGGTTTTAGCTGAGGCCTGAAGTTTAAACGAAGTGAGGCCTGTGAAGCTCTGGGTGTAGGGTGTTCCAGACAGGAACAAAGCCGTGAGACGGCTATAAGGATGCGGTGTTTGGGGAATGGCAGAAAGGCCAGCATGGCTCGGGCCAGGGGCAGAGAGAGCAGTGGGGGAGGGGGTTGCAGAGCTTGGGAGGAAGCAGATTGTGCAGGGCATGGGAGGCCACAGCAGGAGCTGGGCTTCTGCTCCGTGTGCCGTGGGGAGCCACTAGAGGCTTTGAACAGGGGGCTGGTTTGATCTGATTGAGGTTTGAACAGGACTGTGCTGGTCACTGTGTATAGGAGGGACCGTAGAGGGGCGAGATGGAGGCAGAGAGGAAAGCTGGGAGGCTGTTGGCAGATATCCAGGCCGGGGATGGCACGGCTCAGGCTGGGGTTGAGGCAGGGGAGATGGAGGGTCCTCAGGGATTTGGGGTATAATTTGGAGGTCGAGCCTGCAGGACTGCTGCTGAAATGGCTTAGGTCAGGAAGGGTTGGTGAGGGCGGGTCTCCCTGAGGAGCTGCCGTTTCACCAGACACCTGGAGGATGAGAAAGAAGCGACCGTGTGGAGATCTGGGCACAGCTCCTGAGGCGAAGAGTGCGTGAAGGTCCCAGGCCCGGAGATGGGAATCAGCTTGGTGCATTCAAGGAGCACAAAGAGGCGGGGGCTGGGGCCTCGTAAGTGAGGGAGAGAGCTCCAGGGGCCAGGTCATGTCAGGCTTTGTAGGCCAGCTAGGAAGTGAAGGCCGTTGGAAGTTGAGTAAGCGGAAGAGTAATCTTATTTGCCTTTTAAAAGATCACTCTGGTGACCGTGTGGAGGGAGGCTGAGAGTGGAATCCAAGAGTGTGTGAGGCCTAGCACCATCAGAGAGAGAGGGAGCGGTGGCTTTGGCGTTTGGGAGAGGGGCATTTGAGCTGATCCTTAACGAGTGCACCCCCGCCGTCTGATGCAGCACTTCCACGTCTGGATATATACCCCAAAGAATTGAAAGCAGGAACTCGAGCAGATGTTTGTACAGCCGTGTTCACAGCAGCATTGTTTGCAACAGACAGAAGGTAGAAGTAACCTGAGTCCACAACAGATGAATGGATCAACAAAATGTCATATGTCTGTGTGTGTGTGTGCAGCCTTAAGAAGGAAGAAGATTCTGACACACACTACATCATGGATGAACCCTGAAGACATTATGCTAAGTGAAATGAGCCAGTCACGAAAGGACAAATACTGTACGATTCCACTTATATGAGGTTCCTAGAGTAGTCAAATTCTTAAAGACAGAAAGTAAGATGGTGGTTGCCAGGGGCTGGGGGAGGGGGAAGGGGGAGTTAGTGTTTAATGGGGACAGAGTGTCAGTTTGGGCAGTTGCAAAGTTGTGGAACTGGATAGTGCTGATGGCTGCACACAATGTGAGTGTACTTAACGCTAGAGAACTGGACACTTAAAACTGGTTAAAGTGGTCAATTTCATCTTATGTGTATTTTACTGCAATTAGAAAAGAGGCAAAGTAGTCAGGTGCAGTGGAGGTCAGGGCCATCTCCATAAAGCTAAAACAGGCTCAGGACAGCTGGTGTGGAGGCAACCCACCCAACTTTCTTTCCTCCTCTCTCCCCTTGGGCCTCTCAGTTGAGGGTCTTTCTTGTGAAAATGTCTAGGGTGTAACTGTTTCTGTGTAATGAGCTGGGCCTTGAGAAGATGGAAAGCAAACTCTGCCCACATTAGGCACAGGGGTCTGTCTGATGGTCTGCACGGGGGTGGTTCTGATGCTGCCCTGCCTTCTCGGGCCTCTCTGAAGAATGCTTTGCCCTTTGGCAGGATGCTCACGAATTATTCCATGTCATTACCTCGTCGTTGGAGGATGAGCGGGACCGCCAGCCCCGGGTCACACATTTGTTTGATGTGCATTCCCTGGAGGTAAACCATTAATATTTTCAATATTTAATGGGATTTGTGCATATTTAACAGGTATAGGAACAGAAGTATAAATCTTTGTACAACTTTAAACTCAAAAGTAAGATTCAGTAAAAATCAGGAGTGGGAGTGGGGCTGGGGGAGAGTCTTACCCTGCAAACTTTGCAGTTGGTGACGAGTTAGGGATGTCAGGTCTCTAAAATGATGCGTTGCGGTAATTTGTGTTGGCTCTGAGGAAGAAAGAATGTACTTTTTCCCTCTGTTTCATACAGAAGAACAAGGAGCCATAGGAGTGCTAAATGAATCCTCATTTTCCTGGAACAGTATAAATGTCAGGGGGTTGATAAAAGTTAATTGATAAGGGGGGGGGAATATTCCAGAGAGGAAATGTGTTTCTGTTCATTTGATGAAGGAATAGGTACAGTCACCCACGGGAGAGGGTAATGAAGTCTACTTGTAGAGACCTTTGTTTAAGTTGATTTTGAATGGTGCGATCAGCACAGGAACCGTAAGATGTAGGAGTGGGATGAGGGGGATGAAGGGGTGGCAGTGGGGTTTTCAGTCTGTTCCTTTCTCCTTCCTGCAGCAACAGTCAGAAACCACTCCCAAACTCATCGCCTGCCGCACAAGAGGTACTCGTTTTCACTGAGCCGTAACACGGAAGATGGGCGCTTGTGAGATATCACAATAACTTGGTTTATCTTTAAAAGAAATTGTTTTTCTGGTGACACCCATTCCTGCTTGAACCATGTGTACTTGCAAAGGAACTTGTGTTTTGGAAACAGCTTTAAATTGTTGCCTGGGTGACCATCTTGAATTGTTCCCTCACATTCTAGCCCTGCTCAATTTCCTCTAAACAGACTTATTTCTACTTCAAACAGGGATTCCTTTTACCTTCTTGGATTGATCCTGTGAGGAACTTAATAAGCTGGAACTGTCATGTCCTCAGCATTTCCACTTTGGCCAACTTTTACTGCAAATTATCTCGGTCCTCTTTAGAAAGAAATCATTGTTTTCTTAAGACTTAAACTGAAAAAAAAGACAACGTATCAATTTCTTTGTGTATTAGTAGTAATAAGAACTGTTATCTTGAGCCAGCCCTGGTGGCCTAGCAGTTAAAGTTTGGCACGCTCCGCTTTGGCAGCCTGGGTTCAGTTCCCAAGCGTGGACCTACACCACTTGTCTGTCAGTAGCCATGCTGTGGCACCAGCTCACATAGAAGAACTAGAAGAACTTACAACTATATACAACTATCTACTGGGGCTTTGTGGGGGAAGAAAAAAGGAGGAAGATTGGTAAAGATGTTAGCGTAGGACAAATCTTCCCCTGCAGGAAAACAAAAACCAAAAAACCCTGTTATCTTTAGAGCCCATACCGTCTGCCAGGCACTATAATATCTCATTTAAGCGTCACAACAACTCTATGAAGTTGATGGCAGTGGGGATAATGGGATAATAATTATCTCCATTTCCCGCAAACTGAGGCTTGCAGAGATGAAGTGACTTCCTGGGTCACATAGCTAATAAGAAGCAAAGCCAGGACTGAGCCCAGGGACGCCTGACACTAGAGCCTGTGTTTCTAACCAGTATACCACACTGTGTTTATTCCACTAACCCCCATCCTATCCAAAGAAAATCCCAGTTTTTCGGAGCTTGCTTATTCTGATGATTTCAAAAGTTTATCTCACTTTGTGGAATATTCACCCATGGTATCCTTCTTTTGACATCTCAGACGTTTTAAGCATGTGTTTGTAAAACGATGTTACTAAACACGGGTTCCTGTCTTAAATGTAGCTGTGCCCATTGTACAAAAACCATATTTAAGGACCTGTGTAAATTCCTGTGTGAAGGGAATGGGCTGTCTTTTTTTTGGAAGTCAATAAGGAAAGCTATTTCAATTTACTTTTCAGGAACATTTTTTTCTGAAGAGGGAGTTTCTACCACATACTAAAAAGGAGGGTGAATTTTGAGGTTGGTGCCAAAAGGCTCAAGTTGGCATATCAAAGGATGTTTTATATTCCAGGGTCACCTTATCCTATGTCCAATCACTGGAAGTCTCAGCACCCTTTTCATGGAAGACTTACTAGTAATATGGTCTGCAAACACTGTGAACACCAGGTAAATACGCTACCAGCACTTGGTATTTTCTGGTGATGTTTCTTTTAAGTTAAGATTCATGAAGGATCTAGAGAGTGTGGACGGACACTGCTGTATGGCGTTTGTGATTGCCTGGGCTCTGTACACTTAGTGGACTGACTGCTCCCTTTGGTCAGTGCTGACATGTCAGTTGATCCTCAGATGGCATCTTCTGCACCAAGAGCAGCAGATCCATTGTGAATTGGCAGGATTTCGAGTCCTAAGGTTGGGTCTCTACTCATGGTATACACAGCAGATTCTAGGGCTGGTTTTCTGTTTTGTTTTGTTTTTGCTTTTGAGGTTTTAAAATAATTTTTTATTATGGAAAATTTCCAACATTTCCAACAACAATACAAATATAGAGAATTGTGCAACTGTTAACTGCAATCAATTTTAGAATATTTTCATCACCCCCCCCCGCCATCCCTCTTCTTTCTTATTACCAAATAATATTCCATTGTATGGATATACCACATTTTGTTTATCCATTCATCAGTTGATGGACATTTGGGTTGTTTCCATTTTTGGCTGTTATGAATAATGCTGCTATGAACATTTATGTGCAAGTTTTTGTGTGGATGTATGTTTTCATTTCTCTTGGGTATGTACCTAACAATAGAATTGCTAGTTCATGTGGTAACTCTGTATTTAGCCTTTTGAGGAACTGCCAGATTGTTTTCCAAAGGGCTGTACATTTTTCATTTCTATCAGCAGTGAATGAGGGTTCCAATTTTTCTGCATCCTCACCAACACTTGTTATCTGACTTTTTAGTTTTAGCCATCCTAGTGTGTGTGAAGTGGTATCTCATTGTGGTTTTAATTGGCATTACCCTGATGACTAATGATGATGAATCTTTTTTTTAAATAAGGTCCATATATTACAAGTCATTGATATATCTTAAATATCTTTTAATCTATAAATGCTTTTGTAAATGGAATTCTAAAATTATTTTCCAATGGTTTGCCACTAGTATATAGAAATACTATTGTTTGTATATTGACCTTATATCTTGGATCTTACAAAAATTCACTTACTGGTTCTAGAAGTCTTGTTGTGTATTCTTTAGAATTTTCCTGTATGTAAACAATCATGTTATCTGTGAATAGAAAAGTTTTGCTTCTTCATTTCCAATCTTTATGCCTTTTATTTATTTTTCTTGCCTTATTACCCTGGCTAGGACCGCCAGTACAAAGATGAATACGAGTGGTGATAGCAGACATCTTTGCCTTGTTTCAAATCTTAAGAAGCAAGTATTTTGTGTTTCCTAATTATGATATTAGCTTTGGGTTTTAGTATGCCCCTTCTGTCACACTGAGAAAGTTCTATTCCCAGTTTGCTGAGAGTTCTTATCATGCTTGAATTTTGTCATGCTTTTTTGCATATATGAGATGATCATATTTTTTCTTTTATTTTGTTAATATGGTGAATTGCAGTGATTGACTTTTCTTTCTTTCTTTTTTTTTTTATTTTTCCTAATGTTAAGCTAGCCTTATGTTTCTGGGATAAACTCTACTTTATTGTGATGTATTATTCTTTTTATTTATTACTGGATTTGATCTGCTAATATTTTCTAAAGGATACTAGTGTCTGTATTTATGAGGAATATTGGTCTTATAGTTTTCTTGTAATGTTTTTGTCAGGTTTTGTGATAAAGATTACACTAGCCTCATAAGATAAGCTGGGAAGTGTGCCGTCCTTCTCTGTTTCCTGAAGGACTTTGGTTAATATTGGTATTGTTTTTTCCCTAAATGTTTGCTAGAACTTACCTGTTTCTTTTTCTTTCTTTAGTTCTATTTTTGCTGAATTTCTTCTGAGACTGCTATTAGCACATACACGCATATTAATTATGATGAGTTGACTTATATTCTCATAATAAAATGTCACTCTGTCTCTGGTAAGACTTCTTGTCTTGAAGTCTATTTTGTCTGATTAGTTTCCATCTAACTAGTGTTCCTATGGTATATCTCTTTCTGTTCTCTTATTTTTGACTTATCTTTGTCTTTGTATTTAAAGTGTGGCTTTTGTAGACAGCATATAATTGGGTCTTGCTTTTTTATGCAGCATGACAATCTGCCTTTTAATTGGCGTGTTTAGTCCATTTACGTTTAATGTAAGTATTTTATATCGTTGGATTTTGGTCTGCTGTTTTACCATTTGTTTTCTATTTGTCTCATAGATTTGTTGTTCCTCTGTTCCTTCTTTCTTCCCTTTTTTGGGTTAATTGAATGCTTTTTAGTATTTGTTATAATTGCTCTGTTGGCTTTTTAGCTATACTTTTTTACATTTGTTTGTGTGTGTGAGTACATCATGCAGTTTTAACTTATGGTCTGTTTAGAGTTAATATCGTACTCCTTTGTGTAAAATATAAGAACCTTACAAAAGTGTAGTTCTGTTACCCCATCCTTTGTGCTAGGTTTGTCATATATATTACATCTACATACATTATAACCCCCACGATACTGTCATAATTTTTGCTTTAAACAGTTATATGTGTTTAGAAGAAATTAAAATAAAAAAATTTTGTATTTGCCATTTTCAGTGTTCTTCAGTCCTTTCTGTAGACCCAAGTCCATTTGATTTTTTTTCCCTTCAGCCTAAGAAGATTCCTTTAACATATCTTGCAGATCTATTGGCAACAAATTCACTTCAGTTTTATTTATATGAAAATGTTTTTGTTTTGCCTTTTTTTAAAGAATTGTCTTGCTGGATATAGAATTTTGAGTTGACAGTGTTGCTGTTGTTTTGTTTTAGTTTGCTTTATTTTAAATTCATCACTTCAAGGCATTGTTCTCTTGTCTTCTGGCCTCCATTTTTTCTAATGCAAAGTTAGCATCACTTGTATCATTCTTCTGTATGTAGAGTGTCATTTGTTTCTCTGGCTGAGTACAAGATTTTCCTCTTTATTGTTGGGTTCCAGCACTTTGTCCTTGCTGTGCATAGGTATGGTTTTCTTTGTATTTGCTAGAAGTTTGCTGAATTTCTTAAATCTCTGCACTTATGTTTTTCACCAGGTTTGTACTTTTTTGGCCATTATTTTTTCAAAAAATTTTATGCCCCATTCTCTACTTGTCAGTCTACTTGATATTGTCCCACAAGTCATTGAGGCTTGGTTCATTTTTCTTCAACCTCTTTCCTTCATGTCCTTCAAATTAGATAATTTCTGTTGACTTGTCTTCAAGTTCACTGTTTCTCTTCTCCATCTTCAATCTCTGTTTGCTTCTCTGGTGAATTTTTCATTTTAGTTACTGTTCTTCTTAGTTGTATAATTTCCATTTGGTTCCTTGTTGTTTCCATTTCTCTGCTGAGATTCTCCATTTGTCCTGCGCTAGAACTAAATGGCTGTATCTTCCTTTGTGTCCTGAGCATATTTATAATAGTTAGACCTATAAAAGGCCCTCGTGCTAATTTCACCATCCAGGGCATCTCCATTTCCCTTCACAAATGGGTCACATTTTCTTCTTTCTTTGTATTGTATGTCTAGTATTTTTTATTGCATATTTAACATTGTAGTAGAGACTTTGGATTCTGTTACATTTCTCTGAAAAATAATGATTTCTGTTCTGACAGGCAGTTAATTTGGCTCAAACTCCAAACTTTGTCCTCTGTCCACTGGGCAGCAAGATCTCTGCTCAGGTTTTCCAGCTTCCAGCTGCTGCTTTTCACCAGGTCCCCGTGTCTGTGTGTCTCAGGGGTCAGCCGGGATTGGGCAGGGTTGATGCATTGATTTGGGGGTGCATCCTCTTGATGGGAAAGAGGGAAATGCCCTTTTTGGATCTCCCCAGCCTCTGTACCCACCCTGAACTCTGTCCTCTGATACCTCAATCCTGTAAGACTGTTGCTTTTTGCCACCCAACACTGAACTCCATAGATGGGGGAGTACCCTCAGGCAGAAAGCCACACATGCAGACCTCGCCCAGGCAGTTCCTGCTTTGCAAGAATCGACTTCTTTTCCATTTCTGCCTGCTTTTGGTAGCTCTCCAGTCATTTAAATAGTTTTGTTTTGTTTTAGTCCACATTTTATCATTGAGATCTCAAGGAGAGTTAGCTGCTTTACCATCACCAAAGGTGGCAACTCTTGCCCTATTTTATCATCTGTTTTTTTGCTATTAATAATGTAACAAGTTCATCTTTCCACATGATCATGCGTTCTTCTACTACACTACTTTTAATGTGGTATTCCATTCTGTGGGCATGATATAATGTATTTAGTCATTCCCTAGAAATTTCAACTATTCATATTTTACTGTTATAAATAATGTTGGTGGACATCCTTGAGTTATGTCCATGGTTATTTCCTTAGGATAAAATCCCCAAATTTCTGGGTCAGGTATGTTATCTTATAGTTTTTCCAAGCTATCCTTTAGTGTTATTGTACCTCTTCTGTTTACAAAGTTGTTTTTAATAGAATTTGCTTCTAGGTAAGTACGTTATGTTTCATTATGTTAATGTTGGGCATCTAAATATTAAATTGGTTCATAGGTGTGTATCTTCCCGTCTGTAAAGCTTTGAATTGAACCCAAGTCCTTTCTGGATTTTCTGCACTGTTTGTTTCAGAGTCCTGTTCGATTTGATACCTTTGATAGCCTTTCACTGAGTATCCCAGCTGCCACGTGGGTATGTACTGATCTGTGGTTTATCTTGGCTCTGTTTTGGTCACATTTAAATCTGAAAGGCTTTGAGGCATTTTGTGTAGCTACTACGCATTACTCAGGCAGGTGGTTGGTTGAACCTGTCTCCTGTGTTAGTTTTAATCTGTGGTACCATGGCCCAATTTGGGAGGAGAAAAGGGTGGACGGTTTTTCTCTTGCTGCAGAAATTTTGGCTTTTTTGAATTCACAAACGCACGTTAATCTCAAATTCAAAGATATCTAAAACAGTGTGAAAGTCCATAATTTTCTGCAGTGTTATGTCCTCATTCCCTTGAGTCTGTCTGTAATAGCAAGTTTAGGGTGCTTTGAGCTCCCTCTTTGTTCAGGAAACATCCTGTTGTGTCTGTGAAGCTTTATTGCCTACATAGGCAAAATTAAAGCTCTGGGATTCACATTGCCATCTGTTAACAGTTTCAGTATATCTGTCCTTTGAATTATAATAATGAATTTTCTTCTTCTCGTGCTGTAGGGTCATCCATTGACCCTGGACCACTGCCTTCACCACTTCATCTCATCAGAATCAGTGCGGGATGTTGTATGTGACAACTGTACGAAGGTATGCCTTGAACCCCAAGTGTCATCTCCCCAGCTGGCCCATGTGTCTTGATACAGTGCCTCTTACACCATTGGCCCCGAGCTCTTCTGACTATGCCCAGAGGATCTTTTTAGCCACAGCCATTTCTACCTAACTTTGTTAGAAAATTGGTAGCCCAGGGACCAGATCTCTTTCCCAATGAGTTTTGTTTCATCCACAAAATATTTAGAAATTTGAATGCCATGCTTGAGATGGGACATGCCCTCTCCAATTTGCTAGTCCCCTCCATTCCCACCTTACCTACACTGCCTGTCTGACTCCCCTAAGCAATTTAATTGAGTCCTCTGAATTAGGAGGAACCGTGTGGAACAGAGCTTTTGAAGACACAGAACACAGTAGATGACATGCCAGTGTCAGAGTTGCAGTGTTGCTTCTCCATCTCTCTTGCCTTCACTGTCACTGTCACTTAATGACTACAACAGTGAAAACAACTCACAGATAACCGGGCAGTGGAGTCCTTCCACAGGTAGAAGTCAAGTGCCAGTTGAACACAGGTCTGACACCAGCCTGACCTGCAGCTCTCCACAGATGTCCTGTTTCAAGAATTTCTGCAGAGAGATGTTTCTTTTATTTCAGATTGAAGCCAAAGGGACGTTGAATGCGGAGAAGGTGGAACGCCAGAGGACCACTTTCGTTAAACAGTTAAAACTAGGGAAGGTGAGCACACACCACCCACCTCGTTGGCTTTGCTTTCGAGGCCTCCCTGTGTGGCTCCTGACACTCGGCCCTTTCCGGTTCCTCTCCCCCACAGCTCCCCCAGTGCTTGTGCATCCACCTCCAGAGGCTGAGCTGGTCCAGCCACGGCACGCCCCTGAAGCGGCATGAGCACGTGCAGTTTAACGAATTCCTGATGATGGACGTCTACAAGTATCACCTCCTTGGACACAAGCCTGGTCAGCACGGCCCTAAACTGAAGGAGAACCCGGGGCCTGCGTTGGAACTGCAGGACGGGCCGGCAGCCCCCAAATCAGGTGTGTGCCCAAGGAGCCGGGGCAGCAGACCCCGCAGCACAGAGAAATGACACTGGCATCCCCACCTTCTGGGCCCGCATGCGGTGAGGGCGGAGCATACAATGTTTGCTTAAATTCTTGAGAACAGCAGGATTGGGGGTGGGAGAAGGAAGATTTCTTAAAAGAGGCTAGGGGCCGGCCTGGTGGCGTGGCAGTTAAGTGTGCGCTCTGCTTCAGTGGCCCGGGGTTCACAGGTTCAGATCCTGGGCGTGGACCTACGCACTGCTTATCAAGACATGCTGTGGCGGCGTCCCATATAAAGTAGAGGAAGATGGGCACGGATGTTAGCCCAGGGCCAATCTTCCTCACCAAAAAAAAAAAAAGAGGAGGATTGGCATCAGATGTTAGCTCAGGGCTAATCTTCCTCACAAAAAAAAAAAAAGGTTAAAATTTTATAGTCATGAATGTATAGTTTTAGAAACTATATTACAGATGAAAAAATATAAGAAGGAAAGCTTAAAATTGCAGTCTTCCTGGGCCGGCCCTGTGGCTTAGTGGTTAAGTGCGCGCGCTCCGCTACTGGCGGCCCAGGTTCGGATCCCAGGCGCTCACTGACGCACCGCTTCTCCGGCCATGCTGAGGCCGAGTCCCACGTGCAGCAACTAGAAGGATGTGCAACTATGACATACAACTATCTACTGGGGCTTTGGGGGAAAAAAAAAACACAAAATGAAATATTTGTTTTTTCTTTGTAGCATTATTAGGGAGTTAAATTTCAAGGTAATCAAAACCTGTTTTACTTACCCAAAGCCACTGCTAATTTTAATTGCCTCGGGCCTTTTTCTCTTGCAGTTCTAAATCAGCCTGGGGGCCCCAAAACACAAATGTTTATGAATGGCGCCTGCTCCCCATCTTTACTGCCTACACTGCCAACCCCGGTGCCCTTCCCCCTCCCAGTGGGTCCTGACTGCAGGTGAGCTGTCTTTAGAAGCACCTTCTGCATTCATTGTAGGCTGCTGTTTCTCTTGGTGTCCAAAATTAGCTTTCTACAGAAATGAATAAAAATGTAGATTAATTTTTTTCTTTCATTTTAAGGTAGAATTTCACTATTACACATTCCCCCATTTGTTTTCATCCAGAATGGAAATTGCTTTTTTAAAAATAAGAATTATAAAATTTAAATATATGTATGAATGTATGTATGAAGTATAACAAAGAAAATTTTAAGTTTCTTGGGATACCACCAAGAGATCACCAGTTAAATCTTTAAGGTTGGGGCCAGCCCGGTGGTGCAGCGGTTAAGTGCACACACTCTGCTTCGGCAGCCCGGGGTTCGCAGGTTCGGATCCCGGGCACGCACTGATGCACCACTTGTTAAGCCACGCTGTGGCGGCGTCCCATATAAAGTAGAGGAAGATGGGCATGGATGTTAGCCCAGGGCTAATCTTCCTCAGCAAAAAGAGGAGGGTTAGCATCAGATGTTAACTCAGGGCTAGTCCTCCTCACAAAAAAAAAAATCTTTAAGGTCTTCCACTCTGTAAAGTTGTGACTGTATGTGTACATACACACAATATCATAGACACACAATTTACATATACTCATAGAGTGGACATCTCACCGTGCCAGTTAATACAGGTCTGTATTTCAGTGGTTGTATAGTGTTCAGTTGTATGAATGTGCCATTGTATCAGTTCCCATCATTGAACACCTAGGATTCTTTTCCTTTTTGTTTTGGCCTATAAACCTCCTTCGTCATATTTGTGAACCACTGGCACTTGTTCCTCCGTTCAGCTCCTCCACGTACCTCTTCCGGCTGATGGCAGTTGTCGTCCACCATGGAGACATGCACTCTGGACACTTCGTGACTTACCGCCGATCCCCACCTTCAGGCAAGAACCCTCTCTCCACCAGCAACCAGTGGCTGTGGATTTCTGATGACACGGTCCGCAAGGCTAGCCTGCAGGAGGTCCTGTCCTCCAGTGCGTACCTGCTGTTCTACGAGCGTGTTCTGTCCAGGATGCAGCAGCAGAGTCAGGAGTACAAGTCTGAAGAATGACCCGGCCCAGAGCTAGAGCTGATAGCACTGTCCACACTGGCCAGGAAAAAGGCAAAGGCAGACTGTATGTGTGTGTGCACGTGCCTGCGCATGTGTGTAAGCAGCCCCACTAGAGTCCCGTAGCCTTCTGGTGTGTTCTAAGAGCAGGCTCCACATGAGAGCCAGTGGCCCCAATTCAAACCAAATCAGGCTCCCCGAACAGCTCTGCTAGTACGTCTGCTGGACGGTGTCATGTTGGGAAGGCGTTCATTATGTCTCGAGCGTCTTTTTACTCACCTGGTATCGGTAATTAAAAGAAATCAGATTCCAGAAGCCACCTTTTTTATATTCTAACATGTTAGGTGTTCTCAAAGGGGAGTTAACTTTGTCTGATCCTCTGATGTTTCAGCATAGATCTTTTATTTTTAATAAGCAGACCCATAAAAATGGTTGATAAGAATTAGTGAAATTATTAAAGGCAACAATTTAGAAGAAAAGTGCCTTTCACTTTTGATTGCTTTTGTAGCACGTCCATTCTGGAAAATATACCTTATTTAAGAGTCATATAAACAATTTTTGAAAAGCTCTATATTTTCCAAGTTACTCAGTGGATAGCAGAACAGTTCCAGATGTCTAAAGAACAGCTGCCTTCCCTTTTGTATGTCTTTTTCTAATCTTTCAATTCTTTCTATGTAGTGAAAGTTCATCTGCCAAATCTGCCCCTTGGGGAAGCTCCTTCCCCACTTTGTCAGTTACGCGTGCACCACTTCACTTTTTAGTGCTAGACTAAGAGATGTGATTCCAGTACACTGAAACTGTGAATAGCCAGAACTGAGCAGCATCCGTGCGACACCTACGACTCCTCCGCTCTGTAGAAAACCCTTTCTTACACGGAGACCCGCTGCAGACAGTTAGCCTCATCTATTTATTTATTGCCCATGCAGAGCTCCTAAGGTGTACAGGTGGAGCAGGGGCCGTGTAACAAGACAGTCCCCGTCTTGAACCGAGAGCTGGAGTTGGAAGTGAGGGCGCTGACCATGGGGCTGCAGTCTCTCTGGACCTCAGTTTCCTCATCTGGAAAGTGAAGGGTTAGATTCAGTGACCATCAAAGTCCAGCCCTTTCCACAAGGAGAAGTTTTTCATTTTTTTTTAAACATAGAAGTACAGCTGACATCTAGTACTGCCATTTTGTTATAGGTCCATATTCTAAATGTATTCGTTTCCAGTAGCCTAATACAAAAAGACTACACGGAGCATTCTCGTCCCTCTTCAGTTAAGTCTCATGAATGCCGCCCAGGGCCGCAGGAATTTTGATGACACAGAAGTATCTATGTTTTAGCTCGATTTTTTAAATTTAAAAACATAAAAGGATACCAAATTCAAACTGACTCTTTAGAGATAAGATTTGGAATCAGACCTACCCAAAAGATGGACAAAGATGAAGCTCAGAACCGTGCTTTCTCTGGTGGAGGTGAGCTGGCAGACACTTCTAGGCAATGCCTTGGTGTCAACTAAAAGTGCAGCACGCCCAGGTGGTCACCATGCCGCTGGGCCTGGCCTGCATCCTGAGGACTCGTAACTCACACTACCCATAGAACATGCTGTGAAGGTTCTCCAGGCCACGGACACGAGGGCGAAAGGAGCAGCTGGAAGGTCTGAGGGGCCCACTGCTGACGTCCCTTCCTGATTGCCTGCCTCTGGTGTTGACATGAGCGCACCTGACTTACCTGCGTCTGGTGGAACAAGTGCCCAGTTGTCTGACCTTAAACTGATTGCAAAGTTGTAGCTGTGAGGAAGTACTGTTGCGCCACGGCTTACTCTGAAATCTGCCATGAAAGAGCAATGTTGGGCACGAAAGGGGCTAATCCTTTGAACATTTAGTTGTAATCAGATCTTTGGTCAGAGGCCAGGGTTTGAGCCCAGGTTGTAAATGTGAATGATATCTGTGCAAAGTCTCTTACCTGACTTAAAGCTGACTCACTCATTTTATAAATTATTAGGCATTAGTAGCAACCAAATAATCTTATTTTTAGTTTTAAGTTATTTATAAAGTAGCATCTTTTTGCAAAACCTTAAGTTCAACTAGTAGTTTATGCCATAACCACTGCTGATTTATGTATTTGCTAAAGGTACCTTTTGTATCTGCTGTGTATTATAGCAATAAAAATCATTTTTTAGGAAAAAAAAGAATACTCGCTGGTATTCTTTCATAATTTGCCAATTTGATGCAAACATCTCTTTCTGAATTCTGCATTGTTAGGTAATAAGTCCTACACTTTGGTTAAACCTTTTCTTTCCCTGTTGGTAAAGGAAATGCCAGCTCCCTCGTTGAGTAGAGAAAACAAAAGTACTGTTAAAAATGTGTTTAGGGGCCGGCCCAGTGGTGTAGTGGTTAAGTTCGCGTGCTGTGCTTTGGCAGCCCAGGGTTCACGGGTTTGGATCCCGGGCGCATACCGATGCACTGCTTATCAAGCCATGCTGTGGCAGTGTCCCATATAAAGTAGAGGAAGATGGGCACGGATGTTAGCCCAGGGCCAATCTTCCTCAGCAAAAAGAGGAGGATTGGCATCTAATGCTAGCGCAGGGCTGATCTTCCACACACACACACACACACACACACACACGTGTTTACTTTTTAATAGGCACAATTTTACGAAATGTCAGATTGACCCGTGGACTCAGAATCTTCTTTCGGACAGGGAGGCTGTGATACCAGTGAGTGTTGGTTGGGTGGTTCATCATAAGTAAACTTCCATGGGCCAGCTGAAGCTTGACCGCCTCCATCCGCCGGGAGGGGTGCTTCCCTCGAGAATCCTTATGCCGGAAGAAGAAGTCTCTGCAGGCCCCAAAGGAGACGGAGGCGATGGGGCTCCCGGGAGCCAGTTCTCTCTCGTCATCTCGGTGCTCACCAATGTGGTCACGGCCATCTTTATACCTGCACCGAGAGAACAAGCAGAGTTTACAGAATGGCTCTCCCTGGGAACGCGCCAACACCACACAGTCCTCCTCCTCTCACAGTGTGAAACGGGGCCCCGAGCATGCCGTCCTGGGGTTGTGACCCTGGGTTTCAAGTGACCGTCCTCTAAACCCAGGGTTGTCAACCAGAGCAACTCTGTCCCCCTGAAGGGCTGGGGAATGTGGAGATGTGTTGGTTGCTATGACTGGGGAAGGGGGTGCTCCGGGCCTCCAGTGGGTGGAGACCAGGGACGCTGCTCCACATCCTACAACGCACAGGACAGCCCCCAGCACAGGGTTACCTGGCCTAAAACATCAACAGCACTGCTGTTGAGAAACCCTGCCCTAAACCCAGACCCCTTCCTCCCAGCCATTCTTAGTCAAATCAGCCTGTTTAATTCTCTTCAGGATACTTAACGTCTGAAATTATCGTGCTGAGCTGTCTGTTCATCAGTCATCTCGCACTCCCCGCTGTGGTGTGAGCCCCGTGAAGACTGCCCTGCTGTTCCACTACCACATCCCTTGTACACTAAAGAATTATTTGTTATACAAATAAACAAAATATGGTGGGATCCTAAACTCTTCCTTTGGGAAGAGACAGAAGATTTATAAAATTCAGTTCACTGGTCTAAAAAAAAGTACAAAACAGGTAGGGTGTCACCTGTTGACGAGCACAAAGTTGAAGGTCTTTCCAGTCGCCAAAGAAACGCGATCCCGGATGCGCTCTAGAACCGGGAGCCAGGGCTTTGGAGACAGGGTGAGGCCCGAAAAGGTGTAGGTCAGCCCAGTGTCGCCATACGTCGCCTGCTTCCTTGGCACGCTGTGCCATTTCCCGAACACCTGGACCCTGGTCAGCGCACCTGTGCAGACGAAACATGCAGCTCAGAAAACCAGGCAGGGAGTGCCCCATACTCTCGCTCCCTGAGTATTCAGGATCAAAAGGGAAGTAAAACAGGAATAACACTTAATGCTCTGACCGAGGACCCCCTTCTCAAAAGTCATTGTGGCTCGCCCAAAATGTTCATGTAAGAACAGTGATTCTCGGGCCGGCCCGGTGGCAAAGTGGTTAAGTTCATGTGCTCTGCTTCGGTGGCCCGGGGTTCATGGTTTCAGATCCCAGGTGTGGACCTACACACTGCTCATCAAGCCATGCTGTGGTGGTGTCTCACATACAAAATAGAAGAAGACTGGCACAGATGTTAGCTCAGGGCCAACCTTTCTCAAGCAAAACGAGGAAGATTGGCAACAAATGTTAGCTCAGGGCCAATCTTCCTCACCAAAAAAATAATTTTTTAAAAAAAGAACAGTGATTCTTGTCCTACACTTAGAGAAACATGGTCTTGTCCAATTTTTTTTAAACACTAACTTAATTGCCTTACCTACAGTAGGAGCAGAATAAAGAGGCTGAAATGCAAGTAAGATGAAGTCAGGTTACAGATTTTGCCACCTGTGGGGACTAAGGGCGTGGGGCCCATGAAAGATGGAGCTAACGCAGCTCAGGCTGGAGGCTGGGGTCTCCTGTGGGCTTTTCTACGCCTCCAAGTGCCCTGCCACCTTGCAGCGGTTCTCAGTGTGGTCCCCGGGCCTGCAGCATCAGCATCATTTGGAAACTCAGATGCTAGGATGCGGGGGTGGGGCCCAGCAATCCGAGTTCCCACAAGCAACAGAGTCCTCCAAGTGATGCTGAGAACCCCATGCAGAGGAATTACCTGGTTATTTGTCATCTCTCCTACTAGACCATTGGTTTTCAAGCTTGGCTGCACATTAGAATCACCGGGAAGCTTTCTAAGAACACTGATGCCCGGGCTGTACCCCCAGCTATTCTGATTCAGTTGGTCTTGGGTAAAACCCAGCATCTTTTTCTTTTTCCAACTTCCCCAGATGATTCTAATCAGTAGCCAGGTGGAGACTCGCTCTGGTCATGTCAGCTTCTGGTGGGCAGGCAATCCTGTTTTTTCAAGTTTATATCCCAAGCACCTAGCAAAGTGCTCGACCCAGAGGCGCCCAGAGAATGTGTTGAATCAGTTCAACCCATCAGTAATTAATGGCTCCTGAGTTCAGATTTCTCCATAGACCACTAGTTCTATCAAACAAGCCTTCAGCACGCACCACGCAGTCCTCTGCTTACCTGTAAAATATTCCACTTCTTTCTCCAACTCTTGGAAAATCCCGTCCGCTTCGGCTTTGCCAAACAGCACTGTGTAATCGCAGTCCAGGCCCTCGGCTCGGATGTGCTGCCAGCTGAGGCCTGCCAAGTCCACTCCATTCCCTGAGGTTTCTCTCCTGGGCCTTTTCCTGCTGCTTTCCTTGTCTCCTCCCAACTCTTCCGGGCCTTCTCCCGTCTGCTCTTGCTGTCTCTTTCCCAAAAGGCCTCCTGGAGCCCTTTTCACCAGGAATCTGTCCATCCTCTCTCCACAAAGCAAAGACTGGGGAGCCGGTGGCAGGCAAAGAAAGAGACTGCCCAGACTCTGACCCAGAGGCAAAAATCTGCTCCGTGGCAAAATGGTCCCACAGCAGTGCTCCTCCTGTTCCTAAGTTTCCATTTTAAAGTTTAACACCATGTCCTATAGAGGAAGTAGAGGACATTAATGCTGGAAGGGTCCCTCAGGATGGTCCCGGGTCTCCCACACCTGGCTATGCATCCCAGTCAGCTGGCTAGCTTGCAAAAACCCAAATGCCTGCACTCCATGACCCCAAGCATCTCAATTTTTAAAGAAATCCCCTCTGGGAATTCGCATGCCACAGGCAAATTTGGAGACTGCAGTCCAAACCCTCACTTTACAGATGGGGAAACTGATACCTGGAGAGAGGAAGGGGTTTGCCCAAAGTCACCCAGAAAAGCAGTGTCTCTATTTCCTTCTCACCAATAACTGATCGGCCCTCCCACGCCAGCATTAAAATAGGTAAGTACAGTGATCCTCAAATGGATATGACTCTGAATCTAAATGTAAAACAGTTAATCGTGGTCAAACGCACGCACGCACGCCGAATTCTGATACAATATAAGAACTGTATCACAAGCGGGGAGTGGGGGTGGCAAGGGTTCCTTCAAAATTCCAGCCACCGCCTCGCAGCTCCGAATCCTGCAACCACCGTAGGAAGGTCTCGCGGGAAAGAGAAAACACGGGACCGCAGCACTGCTTCCGGGAACATTTCGGATGCGAACAGGGAGAGGCGGGCAAATTTGCAAAACAAGGTGGTGGGCAGCCTCCTGGCGCCACCTGTTGGCGTTCCGGGCGCATTGCAAGCACTACCTGTTTCAATGGAACTATTCCTTCTGCAACTGTTGAGGGAGAACTGTGCTTTGGGAGCTGTTGTTCTGTGTCACCTCTCCCTGAGGATTAATTTGGCGTCCTGACAGGGAGTTGGGCCACCAGCATATTGTCGCGGGTAGGAGCACGAGTGCGGCAGTCCGACCCCGGCTTCCCTTTCTGTCTCCCCCACTCGAGCTGTGTGGCTCCTAAGCTGTGTCACTTAACCTCTCTGGGCTTGAACTGCCTCATCTGTACAGTGGGGACTATAAAACCCATGCCATGAGAGCCCCATGAGGATTAAGGGAGAGGACGTGTGAGAAGTGCTTCCATGCTCCAAATAAATGTTAGATTCTATTATTACTCCTAACTTGTGTTTACTGTCTCCCCCAGTGGAACGAAACCTCCGTGAGGTTGGGGGCTTCGTTTTGAATCTTCTTAGCGTACAGTTCTGCAAATCTTGACAAATGTACACAGTTGTGTGACCACCACCACAATCAAGATCCAGAACAGCTCCCTCACCCCACAAAATTCCCCCAAGCCTCTTAGTTATCAACTCGCCCACCTCACCCAGCCCCTGGCAACCAATGATGTGTTTTCTGTCCTGATAGTTTTGTCTTTCCCAGGATTTCTTATAAATGAAATGATACAATATACAGCCTTTTGTGTCTGGCCTCTTTCACTTAGCGTAATGCTTTTAGGATGGATCCATGTTGTTTGTATCAGTTGTTTGTTCTGTTTATTGCTGAGTAGTATTCCATTGTACACACAAACGCCCCACGGTTTGTTTACCCACTAGCCCATTCAGGGGCATTTGGGTTGTTTTCAGTTTGGTACAATTACAAGTAAAGTCACTATATCCATTGATGTACAAGCTTTCGTGTGAATATAGATTTTTGGGGGGGTTCAGGGGTGAGGAAGATTGGCCCTGAGCCAACATCTGTGCCTGTCTTCCTCTATTTTGTTTATAGGACACTGCCACAGCATGGCTGATGAGTGGTGTAGGCTCGCACCCGGGATCGGAACCCATGAACCCCAGGCCACCGAAGCAGAGCGTGCGAACTTAATCACTATGCCACCAGCCAGCCCCTGAATATAGATTTTAATTTCACTTGGGTAAATACCTAGGAGTAAATGCGTCCCATACAGAGCGATAAATAGAGTCACCAGCTAGAAAGCGGGCAGGAGAAGGCCTTTCAGAGCAAGGGTCCCAAGCTGAGACCTGAAGCTTTCTAGGCAGGGGGACAGCGGTTGCAAGGGCGTAAGGCCCAAGGACCAGTGAACGTGCTGAGAGCCAGATTCCCTGACCACCTCACAGGAGGAGGGGCCTCCCTCAGGAAGGAAAGCAGCCTCGCCAGCAGGGTGAGAAGCTGAGGTTTTATTCTAAGCACATTTGGAAACAATAGGAGCATTTTAACCTGGGGATTCTCAAGATGTAATTTACATTTCAGAAAGATCACTGTTAGGAAAGAGGAGACCAGCTGGGATTGTAGCCAGGCGATGGAGAGCAGCAGCTGAATTATTTTGGAGATAGAAACAAGAGGACCTGTTGATGGTTTGGATGTGGGTTGGGAGGGAGGGAAAGAAGAATCCCAGGTGCATTGGGGGTGCAGTGGTGCCTTTTGGGGGATGACTAGTTTGGAGTTTAACCTCCACGACCTCAGTTAAAGTCTCCCCCAAACCTTACAGGTTAGGCAAAATGTTGGACCGCTCTTGGCCTTCGTTACTGGTCAGTGAAACAGGTAGTGGAAATTGGATGAGATGATGTATCTAAGAGCTCAACAAATACCATTCCAATGCCAATGTCGCTCCCACAGAAACTACCTGGCAGGTACTTTTTACAGCGGAGAGATGCAGGGATTTGCCCCAAGGCAGAAATGTGACGAATGAGTATATGGTAATGAATGAAAAAGTCAATAAACGAGGGAACCGAACAAAGGAACCCTGCCGTCCCCAAAGACTCGTCCACGCTCCACCTCCTCCCCAGGGCCTCGCCGGGCAGCCCCTCCCGCACATGCGCACTAGGCCCTCCACCGCCCCCAGCCCAGACCCCCGGTCGGAGCATGCGCGGGCCGCTTGGCGCCAACTGCAGACCGCCTGAGTGGCGCGAGTCTCGTGGGTCCCCTGGCGGCGCGCGTTCCCTCCCTCCTCGGCTCCAGGATGATCGGCCAGAAGACCCTCTACTCCTTCTTTACCCCGAGCGCCCCCAGGAAGCGACATGCCGGCGGCCCCGAGCCGGCCGACCCGGGGACCGGCGTGGCGGCGGTGGCTGAGGAGAGCGGGGATGCGGCGGTGAGGCGCGGCGGGACCTCGCGTGGGGCCGGGGGAAGGGAGGGGGAAGGGAGGGAGAAGAGGGCGGCGGGCCCCGCGCGACCGAGGGGTTGCAGGAATGCGCCGTGGACCTGGGACTCTGGGGCCCCGCGTTCAGAACACTCTGTCGTGTTCAAAACAGCCGCCGCGGCGCCTATCGGCGCCATGCTGAGGGGCCAGCCAATGGGAGCGGGCCTCGGGGCCTGCGGCGCCAATCGGAGGCGAGGGGGCCGCCCCGCGCGGCCTTCCAACCAATCAGAGGAGGGAGAGGGCGGGACTCCCGGGGGAGGGTTTTTGCCGCGAAAAGGCCACATGGGGACGCGAGTGGCGGGCTCCGCGGGCGGGGCGCCGTGGTGCAGGGCCTCCCTTCCCGCGAACGCCTAAGCTCGCAGCCCTTCTCCGCCGCATTTTAGTACCCAACTCGAAGTTTGGGGCAGCGGACTGCTAGTCCCAACTGGGCTCAGCCCTGGGTTCCTGGACTCTGGTTTTGCTCCGACCTGCCCGGTGGGGCTGAAACCCTACAAATGGGCGTCTTCTGGCAAGGGCCGTTGAGGTGGGGGCGGAAGCTGCAGGCGCCTGGGAGAGGCCCGCTGCAGCTCCTGACCCGCCTCTGCGGGGACCACTTGCAGGCCAGCCCCCCCAAGAAGGCCCGAGCCGGGCAGGAGGACCCCAGCACGCCGCCCTCCTCGCCGCTGAGCCCCGAGCAGCTGGACCGCATCCAGAGGAACAAGGCCGCGGCCCTGCTCAGACTCGCGGCGCGCAACGTGCCGGTGGGTTTCGGTGAGAGCTGGAAGAAGCATCTTAGCGGAGAGTTCGGAAAACCGTATTTCATAAAGGTAAACGTGGACGCTGTGGGCCCTTTGTCTTGTTGATATAGCAGGCCAAGGCCGCGTCTGTAGGATACTGCTTTCGTGGTCTCCTATTTTCCCTCCGTCAATGTGCTTTTCACACTAAGTGCGTAAACTAAAAGCCGTGGTGTTTTTGAATCCAGGCGTTTACATTAGTTAATAATTTCAAAAGACTGTAAGATGATGTCATGGCTTATTTTAATTCATTTAGTTACTCTGCTCTCCAGGCAAGAGTGGCATGGTCAAACCACAAACCCAACTGAATGAAACCTGGCTCAGAGGGAGGGGTTCGCACCAAAAGGAAATCAGAGCAGCCAGGCCAATCATCTTTGACCCAGCCCAAAGAAAGGGGCAGGGAATTGAATGACTGAGCCACATTCACATCGGTGGGGAGCCAGTACTGTTTTTGTTTGTTGTTTTTCCAAAGAATTTGGGTATCAGACATGGCAAAGAGCTAGATATTTCTTCAGATAGCTTGCATTAGAAGCTTTCTTATTGGATCTTTATCCTTTCCAGTGAGATCTGACTTTAAATTTATTTTATCTTTAAATCAGCTAATGGGGTTTGTTGCAGAAGAAAGAAGACATCACACTGTTTATCCACCCCCACACCAAGTCTTCACCTGGACCCAAATGTGTGACATAAGAGATGTAAGTACAAGTTGTGCATGAATTTTGATAAAAGAGAGAAGAGAATCCAATAATATTTCCTAATTAGGGACATTGGAGTTGTCATTGTCCATAATTCAGTAATAAATAAAATACTGAAATTGTGAGGTTTGGCGGGGTATATTTTGGCCTGTATTTACTCTTTTAACTTTTTTTTTGGGTAATGAAGGTTAGCCCTGAGCTAACATCCTCCTCTTTTTGCTGAGGAAGACTGGCCCTGGGCTAACATCTGTGCCCATCTTCCTCTACTTTATATGGGACGCCACCACAGCATGGCTTGACAAGTGGTGCGTCTGTGCGCGCCCGGGATCCGAACCTGTGAACCCCCGGGCTGCTGCAGCGGAGTGCACGCACTTAACTGCTATGCTACCGGGCCGGCCCTCTTTTTAACTTTTACTATGTTCTGTTTATGCAGCAAAAAAGAAAAATGTACAGGGACCATGTGTCTATATGTTCTCATTTCTTGTGTTTTATTTAATCCTGAAACCAACCCTGTGCCAGTGTTGGGTATCATTGTGGTGATGAGGAAACTGAGGCATGAAGCAGCTAGGTCTTTTTCA